CAGATAAACATAATAATTACCTTTGGAATGAAAGTTAAGTTTTTAATTGTTGTTATTATTATTATTATTTGGTCTGTTGAAGAAAGTATGTGGTGTGTGTGAACATTATTCTGCCAGGTTCATCTTGGAAGCTAGTGTCCATCCAGATTAACTCACTAGACTCTAGACTCTCATTAATGCTAAGAAGTATCATTCTGATGAACCACTTGAGATTTCATGCTCAAAATTCTAGGCTCTTCATATATTTTCATGTTGATCAGCTGAAGGAGCTAGCAATTTTGCACTAGCTAAAGCCAACCTTGTCATGAAATTACAGGAAAATATATAATATGGGGATTGATGTCACTGTGAGATATTAAATTTTGTGATGCTGCCAATTTTCTTCTCTTATTTTTTTCTGTTGTTTTTAAAAGTGAGAATGGGTGGGACTAGAAATACCAACCGGAGGTCCTCATTTCAGAGTCAGCTGTCTATTAAAAATCTGGATAGTCTCAGAGCTGGAAGAGCATTAGACACCTATTCATAAAGCTCCTGATTCTGTGGATCAGAGAGGGGAAACAGCATACCCAAAGTCTCATGCTGGGACTGCAGGCTCCTGACTTTTGACTTCTAGTACAGTGCTCTTTCCTCTCAATAAGTGGTTCTCAGCCCAAAGTCTGGTTCAAAGGTAAACTTCTGGGGTGCTGATCCAGGCTCTGTGAACCAGCTGGCATGGTGCACACCATTTTGCTTGTATGTGCTTTTATGTCCATTTCCAGAGAGAATCCACTCCTCCCATTTGATTTTTACAGAGATGTGTGACTCAGAAAAGTTTAAGTACCATTGCACTTCATGATTTAATAATATTGTCATGTGAAAACTATCACAGTAAGTTAAATCTTATACTCATTCATACCTATATGAGAGGACATCAAATTCTCCTGGGGAAATTCATTAATTGTTTAGGATTAGTGCATAATGGGTACATCTCTCAGATGGTTAGGGGCAGTTGGAGCCTCCAGCAACCAATTCATCCTACTGTCTGTTTAGAAAATTTGGCAAGCAATCACACGTTAAAATCACTTTGGTGATTCAAAAGCAACAAACAATACAGGACTAATAAGGTATTATTTTGCCTTGCAGGCTTTGCAGTTCTTAAAGCAGAGAGAACTGAGATCTCTGTAGATAAAGCCTGAAAACTTATAGGCTTAACTTAATAGAAGTTTATGTTTACTTCATATCACCATGCAATGTAGGTCTTCAGCAGCCTTTCAAATGATGTTTCAGAAATGTGGGCTTCTTTCATCTTGAGGCTACACTGTCTTCTTGGATATTGAAGTCCTTCACTTCTAGCTAGTCATCACACAGCGGGGCCTGTAGTAGGGTGGGGGGAGGGGGGAGGAAGGAGGGAGGAGGGATAGCATTAGAAGATATATCTAATGTAAATGACGAGTTAATGGGTACAGCACACCAACCTGGCACATATATACATATGTAACAAACCTGCACATTGTGCACATGTACCCTAGAACTTACAGTATAATAAATAAAAAATAAATAATTAAAACAGGTGTTCAAACAAAAGAAAAAGAGGGAGAGTTGAGGACCAGTTAGGAAGTTTTTATGGAAGTTGATTGAGTTGCACATTTCTAACCACATTCCACTGGCCAGAAATAAGTCCCATGGCCCCATCTAGGTAGTGGTTGTGGGGCCTCCTAGCAACAACTCTATAGTATGGAAGAGGAGCACAAACCTTCCTTGGGCAACTGGTCTTCTGCCACAGAGTGAGTATTATAATAATCCCAAATCTCAGAGATAGGCGAAGTGTTTGAGATGGGATTCTCAGACAGTCCATGTTGTCTGGATATAGATTACAATTTTCATTTACCTGACACCTTAGGAATCAAGGTGATCCTCATAATCTATGAAGTCAGGGTTGAAAAATATTGTAATTAAGAAAATTACAATTCTTGGATAATTGGAGATTTTATTTTATTTTTAAAGGAGTGACACAGAGGGTAAGGGACCAATCTGGATTTTTAGCTGGTTTGTATTATAATATAATTTGCATAATTATAGCAAAGAGAACTCTGTTTCCATTTTTGCATAACTATTGCTACAAGTTTAGCTTTTTTATTGCATGTTTACCCTTGACAATGTTTTTGTGTTTGGCAGAAATTACAGCAGCACCTGCCTCTACCCTGGGATTTTTATTTTCACTGTGTTGCTTAGTCGTTTCTTCATTATTTTTCCTTGTTTTATACAAGCTTAACCTCTCTTCAAGTTATAATTTTCATTCTGGAACTTGGAATTGTTATGGTATGAAATTATTATGAATTGCATTCCTGGCTTTTAAAAAGATGATTTCAGTGCCACTTGGCATCAGAATGGGTGATCTGTGAAATGTATTTCTTCTAACAGTTGCTACAGAGAAACTCTGACAAGTGACTTACTTTTTGTTTTCTTGTCTATGAGTTTTTATTGGTCCAGTGAACTCCAGCAATCTTGGAAGTAATGTTGAGGACCAAGTAGATTTTTTCTTTGTATAGGTTGAAATCTCATAGGATCCACCCAATGCTATGTTGGCACTGGGTTGTAGTGACCCATGAAAGCTGGGAAAAAACCATATATTGATTCCAAATTGATTGGAAACTTGTTCTAATAACTGAAGTTACAAATTAAATATACAAACACACAATTAAATAGATTACATTAAAAGCTCATAATTTCCTAATTTCTTATTACACTTTACTATTATCTAAGATCTTGAGGTTGTTACATTTATTGTGTCTGTGTGGTAGAAAATGCCATACAATGGGGGGTGCTATTGTGTCTCCCTTCCCAAGTCTGCATTCAGGCATGCCACTTGGGTAGCTTGATATTGGCCATGGTAGGTGCAGGTTTTTTAAATTTCCAGCAGCCCACTGTGCTCACCATATACAACATCTTCATTTGGTAGTGCTGAGGCTTGAATGAGACAAGCAGTGCTAGGAACATCACAGATGCTCAAAAAGGACAGCTGCCTTAAGGTCCTTCCTTCAGAAAATCTCTGCCATTTTCAGAGTCCAAAAATGGTAGTGTTGCCAGATGATTGCAGTCCAGTGCCTCTAGAGGGACACAGGATCTCTTTCTATTTCTCTATTCATAAATGTTTGGTAATAGTTGACTTCATCCCTTCCCAGGGATATGTTAGGGGAAAAAATATCCTGACTGATGCAAGAGCATTTTGAATAGTTAGGAAGCATAGTTTTCAAATTGGAGGTTGAGAAAGAGCTTTGTACAGGGTGGCTGATTTGTGCCAGTGATTAGTTTGAGAAGAAAATATTATTTTCAGATTCCTGGTCCAGAGCTGTAGCATTAACTCCCCTACACTGGTCCTTGGACATGTGCCCTATGGTCCACCTGTAAGATTTCTTGGGCCACTGGCAAATATAATAAGAATAGCATAATAGGATGTGGGCAAAAGATTGCCTGCTTATCTTATCCTGGATAGGACTGTCTTTTATTGTGGGTCTTGAGTGTTCTGATAGCTTTTACATTAATGTGTCCTATCTTTTTTTTGGACAGAATCTCATTCTGTCATAGGCTGGGGTGCAGTGGTGTGATCTCAGCTCACTGCAACCTCTGTCTCCCTGGCTTAAGTGATCCTCCTGCCTCAGCCTCCCAAGTAGCTGGGATTACAGGCATGCGCCACCATGCCCAGCTAATTTTTGTATTTTTAGTAGAGATGGGATTTCACCGTGTTTGCCAGGATGGTCTCAATCTTCTGACCTCGTGATCCGCCCACCTCGGCCTCCCAAAGTGTTGGGATTACAGGTGTGAACCACCATGCCCGACCCCATGTCATATCTTTTTGAAGTGACAGTTATAGTAGATGATAGTGGTGGAGGTAGAGTTAATTTTAAATGCCTTTACTTGCAGAAAGCTAGAAATGATATTGATTCTCTTTTTTAACTCCTTTTTTTAAAAAAAGTAAATGTTTGTGATTCAGTGGTTCTGAAAGTCTAGAACTACCCCATGTTGACTCTAAACTGATTTTTGTGGAAGCAGAAGTAAGTATTGATAGAATTATTCCATAGGTGACCTGAATCAGCAGCATGCGTATGTGTGAGCACTTTTGTTTACTCCTGCCAATTGCTCACTCTCCTAAAACTGTTGATAGTTAAGAAAATCCAAGTGTGATCTGAGCACGCATTGTCCTTATCTCTCTCTCTCTTCTGCTAAGGCAACTTTTCAAAGTCTCAACAGAAGTGTTCTTTTGAGGAGAAGCATATAAAAAGTGACCCTTCAAGATAAAAATTGTAATCGTGGTGTTTGCTTTTTACCTAAATAAATGTTCATCATTGTTACAGGGGTTTTTGGGTCCACATCTGGCTTTAACAATTTTTTTCTCCCCTCTAACACTGTTGATACTAATGCCAATTTTAATTTCTTGGCATCATGATACATAAATATATCACCCACAGATGTGGTTTTAAACAAGGACTGAAACTGTAAATTCGGAAGCAAGAGATTCACAGGGTTTCATCAAATCACTCTCGAAAGTGACACAGTTGTACTGAAATGGTTTTAAATTGCTCATTTCAAACCTACCTCGGTAGCAAAATGCCATGCGTGCAGCGGATTTGCAACCACGTTAGTCATTTTCTTTCCTCTGTTTCCTTGCTGTGTTTGTATTGGGAGCACAGAGTAATGTAATTTAGTAAATTATGATTTGATGGCTGGGCATCAGCCCCAGTGTTGAACAGTATTTGGACTATGATTACTTGCTGGCTTTGTCACAGTTGACATTAATTATTGATGGAAGTTTCAGAAATAGCGCATGTGCTAGGAGCTTTTAGCTGGAACGCAGGCTCCAGGCAGGAGAGATGCTAAAGAGTGTGGGGGAAGAGGCACCTGTGGCTTGTTTATGTCTGCGCACAGGGAAACTGGACCCAGCAGGCTGTGTAGTACCTGTATAAAGGTTATGGTATAACGGAAGGATGAACCGTCAGGCTTATTTCTATCGTGTTCCTCCCCAGGAATTGCACCGAAGAAGCCAGCTTCAGCCGGAGCCAGCCAAGACGAAGGCTCTCCAGACTGTCATCGAAATGAAGGTAGGAACTGTGTACTTTTGTCAGAAACAGTTATGCCTTGGGAGTTTGTTCTAACTTGGTGGTGCCTAATATAAACATGAAATGAACCTTGTGTTTTTCTCTAGGCACCCTGCTGGGTGCTTTACTTCTGAAATTTTTTACCTTCCTGGGCACATTTAATTTATTGGCCCTTTAATTAGGATTCCTTTTCTGGGCAAAAGAATAAAGGGCTCAAGAATCCATTGGCTGAAAGGAGCTGGGTTCTTTTGCAAAGCATGTCTAGTCCTAGGGGGGTTTTGTGTGTGTTTTAAAAGTAAAATTTTTAAACTATAATAATTCTTTTCCTCCTATTCACATCACAATAAAAAGCACCTTTGAGAAATTAAGAGTTGGCAAAGGGAAGTTATTTTACATGCAGTGGTATTGTTAAATAATTAAAATTATGCTATCAGCAAAGTTTTCAAAATTGAAATACTTTTTAAGAAAAAAACTTTCTAGTGACCCCAGTATTTTCTCCTAACCAAGTCTGGAAGTAATAACACTTTACTAAGTACTTGCAAAGTATCCTATTTAGCTGTGCAGGCATAGAGATACACTGTTTAAAGGAATAGAAAAATCCTTCTGAGAGGATTCAGGACATTTAAGGAATCATGAAGTAAATGAGCAAGGCCAAGTCATGATCTGTGATTAAGAAACTGGTCTAAATGAAACTCAATTTCTTTGCTAGTATCTAGAAATTTGAAAACTTTTTATTTACAGTTTTTGCCAGAAGGGTGCAAATAGTAAAGTATTTATCTCAATAATAAATAATTCTTGATTTAATGTGTTCCATTAAGAAACACTAAGTTTATAACCAAGATGTTTGCAATCTGAAAATTCCATGCTCAAGTTTAACACTCAGGGAGTTTGCTGGTCACCATGGGCCTGCAAGAGAATTCTAAAGCTTGCTGATAGGATGATGAGTCTTCTCAATCCTTCTTGCAGCATATGATTTTGAATTATCTGTCCCCAAATTCCCAAGTTTTGAGGGAAAAGAAACTAATATGAGCTCTTGAATTCTTGGCATGTGCAATTCTGAGTAGGGATTGTTTTTCTTATTCAATGACAACTTCTTCATCCAAGTGGAGTTTTGTGAAAATAGTATAGGTCATTTGCTTTAAAACTATGTGTCCCCCAAATGAGGTTACATGAGTCAAGGCACTCATAATGTATTTGTAGCATCTGGGTTTGAAAAATATATTTGAAGGCACCAAATGCCAATAGGATTAAAAATAATTATTAACTCTGGCTCATCAGTTGTTTTAAACTTATATAATTTAAACATTTTGAAAAGAAACTGAACATTCTACACTGGGGAATGGTAGGCCAGTGGTTCATAATTCAGAGTTTATCCTCACTTCATATTGGAATCAAACCTGATACTTGGTTAAGGCCTAAAAAAAAGAAAAGAAAAAAAAGAGAAAATGAAAAGACAAAAGGACAAAAGACTTGATTTTTTTTTTTTTTTTTTTTTGCAAAGGGTGACTCAGTCCCCCTTCCACCCACCTCCACACCCACCTTCCAAGTCAGCACAAATAGTAATGGAGAAGAGGATGTATATATAATCTATTTCCAAATTATCATTAAAAAAAAAAAGAGTGAGTTCCCAAGGCCTTTGGAAAAAACAAGAGAAACACCTCTTCTAATGTGGTGGGTAGTTTCCTGGTAAATGTCTCCATGCAGAGACAATTGGTACCTTTTTTGTGACTTTTTAAAGTAGAAAAATATGTTTGATCCTAGTTTGTTGTTTCTAGCATTATGTTTTATTATAAAACAAAAAATTATAAATAAAAAACTCAGGTTATCTACATGAGAAGGCAGAGAAACTTGAATTCTAGGGCAAATTCATATCCACATATTATCAGTAAATTGAACCTAGAGTTCTCCTTCTATGGATGGCAATGTTGCTGATTTGTAGGCATAAGGCATTTGTATTTTTAGGACAAATGAAGATCAATATAATTTTCAGGAAACTGATCCTCAAGTTTTTCTGTTGTCTTTTTGGTTGCCTGTTAACTTACAAAAGCACTGCCTTCTGTCTTGTCAACAGAGAAGTCTGGGTCCCATTAGCATCTATCCTCAACATACCTAAATTGAGTTATGGAGGCAGCTGGTAGAGGGTCATCTCAGCCATGTGTATAGCTCAGGCTGGAGGCTGTGATCTCATCTAATTTTGTACATTACACCTCTATGAAATTGGTGGGAATATTGAAAGTTCATATTGTACAGGCTTTAGAGTTGACTACCAAATCGAACTGACCCTTCAGCCTAGTGAGTGGAACTTGAGACCCTGTTGTATTTTAACCCTGGGTAAACATTGGTGTCATCTAGTGCCTTGATAGAATTTAAAATTAAGAAGAGATTTCCCAGCACTTTGGGAGGCCAAGGCGGGCAGATCACAAGGTCGGGAGTTTGAGACCAGCCTGACCAACATGGTGAAATCCCGTCTCTAATAAAAGTACAAAAATTAGGCCCAGATGCAGTGGCTCACGCCTGTAATCCCAGCCCTTTGAAGGCTTAGGTGGGTGGATCACGAGGTCAGGAGATCGAGACCATCCTGGCTAACACGGTGAAACCCCGTCTCTACTAAAAAATACAAAAAATCAGCCGGCCGTGGTGGCGGGCGCCTGTAGTCCCAGCTACTCGGGAGGCTGAGGCAGGAGAATGGCGTGAACCCGCGAGGCGGAGCTTGCAGTGAGCCGAGATCTCGCCACTGCACTCCAGCCTGGGCGACAGAGCGAGACTCCATCTAAAAAAAAAAAAAAAAAATTAACCAGGCGTGGTGGCGGGCACCTGTAATCCCAGCTACTCAGGAGGCAGAGGCAGGAGAATCACTTGAACCTGGGACGCGGAGGTTGCAGTTAGCCAAGATCTTGCCACAGAACTCCAGCCTGGATGACGTTGTGAGACACTGTCTCAAAGAAAAAAAAAAAAAAAGAAGAGATTTCATAGACTAAATTGGACTCAGAGATTATCCTTATTTGTTTCTTGCTTTTTAGAGGAACTAAGGGTGAACTAAGGGTGACAATGGGGTTGAACCCCATTGTCCCCATATACACACTTTGCATAAACTCACAAAAGACTTTTGTTGTGAAAGTCTGTGAAATCTTGCCTAAATTTAAGCACTATTTAGAACCACAGTCTGGTAGTTCTAGATTTTTGTGTACCCCCCCCTCGACTTTGGAGTTGTGAAAATGTGTTTTTCTGGGGTGAACCTTGGGAAATATCATCTGCCTGAGTCAAATTGGGGGCAGTTCTTTTGCAGACATCACATCTACTACCAGCCAGTTGAGCCTGGGAGCTAAAGTTACCTGAATGAAAAATGAAAGGAAGCCAAGTGAATAAAGTTATTTGTAATTTATCTTCTTGCAGGAAGCTTCAACTTTTAATTTTGATCCTGATTTGGTCTGGCAGGTATGTTCCAAGTTTGCACTTAGAACATTGTGTGTGTTTCTTGGAAAATTAGTTTCTTGTAGGTATTGCAGTGCTCCTCCTCCTTTTGCTTTTGTGTCTAAAGATTCTTTACTAAGCTCCTCTTTTCTGCTCTTGTGGTTAACTGTCAATAAGAATGGCAGTTAAAAGGCTTGTTTTCTCTTTTTTCTTTCTTTAATGCTAATTCCTTTGAAAGAATGTGTAACTTATTTTTATTATAAATTTGACATGACATAAACATGACATCTAAAAGTTTTACTTTCTTGTGTCATTCATAAAGCCAATTTTTTTTTTTAAAGAAAATGAATGACAGTAATGGCAGTTCTTGTCAAATAATCTCAAACCCCTTTTTCATTGTGAGAACTTTTAAGTGAAGGAAAATCTATTTCTAAGTGGCTAAACTCAAAAGGAAATTTATTGGAAAAAAATTTACTGGAAAAAAACAGGGGTATTACTTCGGGCACATCTTGATCCAGAGGCTCAAAAGATGTTAGCAGATCCCATTTTCTCTTATTTTCAGGCAACCTCTCCCTGCCTGTGAGCAAATGGCTACAGCAGCTCAACAATCACAAATGGAAGGACAGGGAGAATGTTGTGCTTTTTAAAAAATGTAAAAACCCAACCCTTAGAGTAATAATAATTACTGAGATGACACATAAAACTTCACTCCAAACTTAGCAGCTGAGGCTAAAAGGAAAATACGTAGAGTTTTCTAGATCTCATTTGCTTAAAACATTAAATGATATTCTTTGGGAAAAACAAACAATTTTGCTAGTACAGCAAAAACTATCAGATTTTCAGCAGAATTTATCAAAGAAGACATATATGAGTGACATAAGGGTTTTAGTAAAAGTTTCAGAATATGTGCTTGATTTGGTGAACTTGTTAACTAAAGTGGATTAAGAAGCCAGAGACATAATGTGAAGTTAAAAGCAGTATTTCTGTGGTAATTGAAGTGAGGATTGTGGGTATTTAACTTTCCAGTCCCATGGTCAGTGAGAGCACTTGTGTGCCTTGAGTTGTTCCTCTTGAGTGACATTTGTCCCCACCAGGCTTTTTTTTTTTTTTTTTTTTATTGGAAGTAAGTAGTAAGCAAAATAAGACTGAGTTCCTCTGAGTTGCTGAAGTGTAAGTGGTACTATTGGTGAAAGAATATGATTTTGCATTCAGGTACAACTTTAATGCAGAGGTTAATTTTTTTGTTATAAAAATAAGACTTTACTTTGTCTTTGTGCCCAGGCAGATAACTGTTGTTCTGCATGGAGCTGACCTGCAGCTGGGTTAAGTTTCACTTAAAAGGTATCTTGATATTTGGTCAAATTTAGCCTGCTTAGTTCCACAAAATATGAAAGGGATATACTGGAACACTGTGAAGTCAAGAACTACTATTTGGCAACTTTCCTGAGTTTCATGTAACTAGGGAGAGAGTACAAAGGCAAACCTAGACTACTGAACACAATCCAATACCCATTGTGAACTTGTCTGAGTCCTGGAATCTGGTCAGGGACACTATGAAGTAGCTGACACTTCTTTGACTGTAGGGCCTACCTAGGTTTATTTCATTCACCCTCTTCTCCCAGGATGCTGTGTTCATATGAAATTTGTGCCAATCCCAGTTTTTCTAGTAAAGCAATTATGATGATGGCTTTTAGGCCTTAAGAGTATGCCCCTGCTCCTTTTGTGATTATTAAAAACAATAACAGCACTAACAACAACAGTGCCACCTGCACCAGCAGTAATACCCAATGACAACAACATCACTACCACACATGAGGGCTACAGCACTTGATGTGCAATAAACCTGTGAATAGGCACAGTTATCTCCATTTCACAGATGAGAAAGCTACGGGTTAGAGAGGATAAGCAACCTGCCCATGGTCCTGCGGCTAGTCAGATTGGCAGCTGAGATTTGAACATAAGTTTCCCCTCAAAGCTCTTGCGCTCTTTACTCCTTCTTTCTGCCTTTACTAAAGATAGGCCATAGGTTCAAATGTTTTTTCTTTCAATATTTACTTTGGAAATTGTGCCTTGAGGTTTGCATCCTAGAATGGGTAGAGGCAGCTCATGAGAGACGGAGTGGCTTATGTGATATTTTTGGAAAGGTGCAGAGCTATACTTTGTGTTAAAAGGTAAAACTCATTCTTTTTACATGTATGTGTTATCATGGCTCCAAATAGGGCTCCAAATAGGTATGTTACAGCCAACATATGCCCTGTTTCTCCCCCTGCATTTTAAGTCATGCTCTGAAGTCTTTTTTTAACAGCCTGGTGTGATAACTTGTTCAAACTTGTAAAGGACTGCGTGTTTTGATGTGCAGTGTGCATTTACAATATTAGAATTATCCTTTAGCTTATTTTTTTTTTCCTTGGGAAATTTCTTTACCTTCTCATTTTCCAACTGGAACCCCAAATATAAAACAACAACAAACCCCTTTATCCCATTTAACTATTTGCCTTAAATAATGGGCAAAATGTGAGTTTTAAGTGATGGTCAAGTCAAATGTTAGCTCTGGATGATATATGGTTGTCACTTAGAAGCAAGTAAGATATTTTTTTAGAAGCAAGTAAGATTTTTTTAAGAAGATGAGTATTCTTTCCCTTTCCTCCCAAACTCTTCTTATGATGTATTTGACTCTAAATGTTTGACTAAATGTTGACAGTCAATAATTCCTGCTATTACCCAGGTTAGTTTTTGTGAATCTAACGGCTGAAGTTGAATCATAAGCACCAGGGTTTACTGAGCAACTATTTTGTGTGCAGCACCATGGTAAGGCTTTCAGAAGAACTGAGCTCGAAGTCTTTAAGGAGCTAATGAAATGAAGTACATAAACCAGGTTATAAAGTGACTTAAGAAGGGCAAATGATCAAGCCTGTAATCCCAGCACTTTGGGAGGCCGAGACGGGCGGATCACGAGGTCAGGAGATCAAGACCATCCTGGCTAACCCGGTGAAACCCCGTCTCTACTAAAAAATACAAAAATCTAGCCGGGCGAGGTGGCGGGCGCCTGTAGTCCCAGCTACTCGGGAGGCTGAGGCAGGAGAATGGCGTGAACCCGGGAGGCGGAGCTTGCAGTGAGCTGAGATCCGGCCACTGCACTCCAGCCTGGGCGACAGAGCGAGACTCTGCCTCAAAAAAAAAAAAAAAAAAAAACAAGAAGGGCAAATGAGCTATGAGGAGTCAAAGGATACCAAATAAGAGAAGAACATAGAATGCTTTCTGGAGGAGGTAGCATTTGGAGAGAGCCTTGAAAAACTGGTATGATTTTGGTAAAGGGGAATATGGTTTATAAACAGTGGAAACTATAAGAGCCACGAGTCTAGTAAGTATAAGGAGTGTCTTTGGAAGAGCAAATCATTCAGTTTGGTTGAGAGAAGACATTGTAAGTTTAAAAACTGTGGTAGATCGCATTAAACCAGTAGAAAAAAAAGGTAGAGAGAAAGAAATAGTAAACATAAAAGCTAACATTAAATAACTAGAGAATAAACATATACTAGAGAGGAGCACCAAAGCTAAATGCTGTTTCTTTGAAGAGATTAACAAAAATAACAAATCCTGGTTAGAATCATCAAGAAGAGTAGAGACAGCAAAAATAACCAATATCAGGGATGAAGGGAGGCATCACTATAAATCTTATTAACATTAAAAATATGAGAGGATTTTATTAGCAACTTTATGATAAATGAAAAAATTCTTTTAAAAACACAACTTGTCAAAACTTGCTTAAGAAGAAATAGAATATCTGAGTAGTCTTATATATTAAATGAAATGATTCTATAATTTAAAATCTTACCACCAAACTAAAAACCTAAAAACCCAAACCAAACAGAAATAATTAGAGGCCCAGATGGCTTTTTTCAGTGAATTGTACCAAATGTTTGAAGAGGAAATGAAATCAATCGTACAGAAACTCTTCCAGAATAGAAAAAGAGGGAGCATTTCCCATCTTGTTTTATGAGACCAGCATATGTTTGATATTCATACCCAGCAAATATATTACAAAAAAGGAAAATTACAAGCAATCTCCTGAGTAAACACTGATGATAGAAAATATCCTAGTGAATTGAACTCAATGACAAATAAATGACATGACCAAGTGGTGTTTATTTTAGGAATGTAAAGTTGGACTGATATTTGGCTATCAATCATGATAGCCACTATATTAAGATGATAAAGGAGAAAATGAATATAATTCATAGGTACAGAAAAAGCATTTGATAAATGCAACATCCATCCCTGGCCCCCAAAAATGTTTGTAAGAAACTCGGAAGTGGAGGATTTTCTTAATATAATAAGAATAGTTACAAGAAAGCTTTAGGTAATATGTTCAATGGTAAAATGTTGAAAGCTTTCTCTATGATATAAGGAATAAGACGATATACTGGTTACCATCACTTCCTTTTTTTTATACTTTAAGTTCTAGGGTACATGTGCACAATGTGCAGGTTTGTCACATATATATACATGTGCCATGTTGGTGTGCTGCACCCATTAACTCATCATTTACATTAGGTATATCTCCTAATGCTATCCCTCCCCCATACTCCCTCCCCACAATAGGACCTGGTGTGTGATGTTCCGCTTCCTGTGTCCAAGTGATCTCATTGTTCAGTTCCCACTTATGAGTGAGAACATGTGGTATTTGGTTTTCTGTTCTTGCGATAGTTTGCTGAGAATGATGGTTTCCAGCTGCATCCATGTCGCAACAAAGGACACAAACTCATCCTTTTTTATGGCTGCATATTATTCCATGGTGTATATGTGTCACATTTTCTTAATCCAGTCTGTCACTGATGGACATTTGGGTTGATTCCAAGTCTTTGCTATTGTGAATAGTGCCGCAATAAACATACGTGTGCATGTGTCTTTATAGCAGCATGACTTGTAATCCTTTGGGCATATCCCCAGTAATGGGATGGCTGGGTCAAATGGTAATTCTAGTTCTAGATCCTTGAGGAATTGCCACACTGTTTTCCACAATGGTT